TATCTGAGTGACTAACTCCCTCATCTTCTAGTCTTTACTTAATATGACCTTCCCAGAAATGTGCCTGGGTGGCTCAGTGGTTGAGACCTTTGGCTCAGGTCATGATCCTGGGGTCCTGGGATCAGTCCCACAATAGGCTCACCGCAGGGAGCCTACTTCTCCCTCTGCCTATGTCTCTGCCTCTCTCTGTGTCTCTTGTGAATAAATAAAATCTTTTTTAAAAAATGACCTTCCCATTGAAGTTGATCCTCACATCTTATTTACTACTGCAACCAATCACTCCCCCCCATGCCAGCTTTCCCTGTTGGCCTTTTTCCCCATAGACCTTACTACCTTCTAACATATTTTACAATTTATTGTTACATTTTATTAGTCATCTTCTCTGCCACCTCTCACTATAATGTTAATTCTGTTCACCCAGGATTCCCAGGCACATACCATAGTGACTGGCCATAGGAGGCACTCAATATCTGTTGACTTCAATTATTAGTCTTGATGTATATATAGAAGAAGGGTCCTGGGTTACAAGTGGATTACAAGATGTTGCTCTCCACCAGGATGCATCCAGCACCCAAGAGGAGGGAGCTGAAGCTAGATGCCCGTGGAATTGTCAGCTTTGGGGAACTTAGGCAAAACGATCTCAAAGAGCAGGAAGAGATTTCTGCAAACCCTGAACTAAACTGCCTATAACAGCATAATTCTTGTTTCTGTCATTCTTGTATTCTCCATATTCCTGTACATTTGTGTTCCCTCGGGAAATCTTTTTGAAACATTCCCGTTCCCAGTAAGAGACCAGTGATGACATCATTCTTTAATCATCTAAGTACTGTTTGGAGTAAACGGTAGAGTTGTGGTGATCCAATAGGCAGGAAAGTCAGGAAACCCTGCCTTGGTCGGTTCCCGGCCGAGAAACCTACCTGAAGTAATTTAAGCAAAAACGGGAAAGTTCTTCGCCAGTGGAATGCAGCCGAGCCTAAGAACAGGCTTGGATATGGTTGTGGGCATCAGAAATTAGAACTAGGAACCGAGCTGCTTCCAGCTCTTCTCCTTCGGCGTTGACTTTACCTTTTCAAACAACAGATTGGAAGCGGCGACCCCGCGAGTCGGAGCCGGCGCGGGAGCAGGAGTCCCCGGGGGAGCAGGCCTGGCGCCGCCGGCCGCAGTGGACCACAAGTCTCCGCCGCGGGAGCCGCCGCGCGCCTACAGCCTGGAGGCGGGCCTGGGCCACTTGGCGGGCGGGGCCGCGCGGCTACAGGGACACAGGGACACCCTCCCACCTCCCCAGGGTGTGCAACAGCCACGGCACCAGGTACCCTGCCGGTTCCATTGTTGTCGTTGGAGGCTGCCCGGTCTGCAGAGTCAGGCTTGGCAGGACTCCTTCACCTCCCCGGGCATCTTCGGGGCCATCATCTGGTTCCTACTGGGGTTCATCTGCTGTTTTGCCTTAAGGAGCGAAGATGCCCCAACTGTGTAGCAAACGTTACTCAAAGAGAACAACACACCTGGTTTTCCTACGTCCAGCTATCTTTTTCTTTTCTTTTTAAGATTTTTTTTATTCATGAGAGAAACAGAGAGAAATGTAAATGTTGTATAGCATAGCTTTCTTTGAGTTTTCAGGACTGTTGTAAAGTGAGGTGGGAGAGATTTGGTGTGTGTGAGCTGAGATTTCGGGGGCTCAGGGGTCACAGAGCGTGGAGACGCAATGGCACTGCTCCCAGGGTTAATGACAACACAGTAAAGCATTGCTTTTATTTTTTGCAGTCTTCACTTTGAGAATGGTGATAAATAATGTTTTGAAAAACATTATTCATACCACTGTAAAAAAAAGAAAACAACCAACACCAGGGAACTGTTAGTTGCCAACTCAATACTGTTTCCCCTACTTATTATATAGAATTCCAATTGCATTTGGCAATCTGTACAGCTGAGACATTTCCTGGCCTCTCTGAAACCAGGCATGATCATGGGACAAAGCTCTAGCCAAAGACATCTAAGCTGAGGTCTTTGGAGCTTCTAAAGCTCTTTTTAAAGAGCTCACCTATTAGTGTGTGCTCTTTCACCAACCCTTCTTCTAACAGGGCAACAAAGAAAATGGGCTGGAGCTGCAGCAGTCATCTCACAGGAATGAAAACCACACCCTAAGGAGAACTGAAAGACAGAAGCACCTACCCTGCGGAGCAAATCATGAGCCTGCCCTACCAGCCCTGACCGGCTCATAGTCCCTGCCGTGTCAAGTTGATAGGGATAGGAAATGAAGACATAGCTCCTTTTCCCAGAGAGCTAACAATAGAAGCAGCTAACTTTTATTGCACACTTGGGATGTATTAGAAATCATTCTTAGTGCTTTCCATGCATTAGGATAAAAACATGTGCATGGAGTATTATTCCATTTATACGGAGGAGGATACATGTTTAGCAAGGTTAGCTACCCACGGTAATCCAAGGCTTGAAGCTGGGCCTTCTATCATTTGTATGATTAACTACAATGCTATACTGGTTCCCAGTCTTATCGGTTAGAATTCAAATTTGAATTCAAATTCAAAGGGATCAAACTCTTGATGAAGAGAACATAGGGAGCAAAGGGGAGAATGTCAGTTTCCAGAATTTTGGGCACTTATCAGCAGTGTCAAAAATGAGGATGAATGCGCCAAGCAGCAGAGCAATATGGTGGTTGATTAGAATGCTGAGCTGGGATCTCGGCATTAAGTGGAAGAGACAGATGTTAAATAGGTAGGTAGATTATGAATTATAGCAATCAATATGAAACTGAGTAATGGAACTGGAGACTATACTCATTACTCTTCCAATAAGCTTAACTGTCCAGGGGAGATGGAAGTCTGTAGAGGATTCATATTTGCATATGTTGCTATTAATAGTGTATTGAAGCTATCCCAGTCAACACTTAATCCAACAACATAAGTATACTGGAAAGACCAGATAAAACTGGATTTGAAACCTTGTGCTGTCACTTATTTGTAGCTTTGTGTAAATTGCATGTTCTTTGAGCTTGTTCCTTCGTCTGTAGTTTATATACAACAGCTACAGACTACAAGTGTAATTTTGAGCATAGTACTAATTATAACATTTCCACTTAGATCTCCTACGGTATTTATATTAATGGGATAACACATCTCACAGAATTCCTTCTATTTAGTAATAAATACTAATCTCCAAGAGATCATATTGCATGATAAAGATTTGAATGCAGGTTTTGTTTTCTGACCACCACATTTTCAACACTTTTTATGGACTCTGTTCTATGGACTTTTGGTTAGTCTTTGAAATGTATCAGTACTTATAACAGCTTTCTCACTAAATGCTAAGTATAGGAGATATTTTCACAGGACTGGTCCAGCAACCCTTACTCTGGGATCTTGCCCCTTGATCCCTCCCTATCTCCACCCTTGGTTGCAGTAGACTTTTAAAGGGCAAATATTTATTTTTAAAAATTTTCAAGTATCTTAAGGATTTAATCTTTTACTTTACCCAATCTTACCATGATACCCTAGCCTAAACAGAACATTTCACATGGAAAAATGTTTTATAAATTGTCAGAAATAGTAAAGCACCTCTCACAATATTGAGATGAAGGTTATCAGAGGTATCAGGTTTGTTTTTTTTTTTTTTTTTTTTTTTTTTACTACACAAGTCTCTTTCACATCATGTCATAAAAGCATTTCAAATCACATTTAGGAAAGCTAAATTCTTTGTAAAATGTTGACATATATAGCTTTTTTCCAAAATATAACCAGCAATTGCTTTTTTAGCTCTAAATCACCAAATTGAACCAAATTCCAGCCCAACTTAAGAACTTTCTCAGCATTTAGAAATGTCTGATACTTTACTCCCTTCCAAAGCAGTGTTCTTGGCTGCTATTAGTAGGAAGATTCAGAAGTTGGGCAGTTGCCATTTGGTGGCAGGTTAGATAATGTAGCTACCAAGATCCTTTCCCACCTTTGAGATTCAAGGCTGAGACATCTTTTATTAGGTAGGTACCTTTTGTGATAGATTTATACTAGAAGTCTCAGTGTTTCAACATGAAGACTATTGGCTTTTTCTAAGTTTATTAATCTGACAGAGAGCAAGCACAAGCAGGGATAGTGGCAGAGGGAGAAGCAGGCTCCCAACCAAAATGGGAGCTGGATGTGGGGCTCAACCGCAGGACCCTGGGATCATGACCTGAGCTGAAGGCAGACACAACTGACTGAGCCACCCAGGCGCCCCGAGACAAAGAATCATAAGCAGCCTCCATGTCCAGCGCAGAACCCCATGCAGGGCTCAATCTCACAACCCTGAGATCGTGACCTGAGCCGAAATCAAAAGTCAGACACATAACCAACTAAGCCACCCAGGCACCCACAGAAAGTTTATAAACCTCGACTTATGGATTTCCCCTAGACCAAATTCACCTAGACTCTAAATTTCAGTGTTACAAATGTACACCTAACAGAGGAGATGACTAATAAGTTTGACTCCTTAAGTTCCTGCAGAAGATAGTTTTCAGAAATGAATGAAGTATTTTAAGGAAAGTTACCCTTTATGTTATAAAGTAATAGAAGCCCATTGTTAGTGTGAAAGAACAAGTCCTAAATTATTTTATAGCTTCTCTACTAAAGCCTAATCCTAAACTGTGAAACACATCCAAATATGCTAACACAACTGAGAAAGGGGAAAAAAAGAAACTTGAACCCCCGGAGCCAAAAATGACCTGCTTCCACTAACCTCAGGTTCTAGCATATCCCAGGATATAGCACAACAGGGAGGGGAAGGAGTCAAAGAAATATGCTTTCAAGTGTCACATCATTTAAGACTGAAGACCATCCACTGTATAATTCTGATCTGCTCTATTAATTTATTTACAAAATAAAATTTGACAAATATCACAATGGTATTTTATACAACCCTAATGACAAAAGAACCATTTTTTTGCTCCCTACCTAAGATTTACAAGGCTGATCAAAAACTGAAATTATTAGTATAAAATGATAAAATGAGACAAATCATGGTAAAGACTGCTTTATTGGTGGCAGTTTGTATTAAGTCAATAAATATTGAATTTATATCGATTACTGGTCCATAGAAAGCTGAATGAAACAACCAACTGCCTGCTGAGATGAATTGAAGTTAATCCTGCTTCTTGGGAAAAGAAGCCACAGCTAGCTGATACATGGCATATGCTGTTCCTAAAAAATAAAAAGAAACAAAAAATAAACTTATAAGAAATTCTGGTATTTATACGTATAAAACCTGTAAGAGAAGGGAGAAGCCAGTCTGGCATTAAGATTACTTTTATGTGAACATAAAAAAGCATTTTGACAGGTGTTGGCAAAATTTAAAATAAATATAGTTTCTAAACAGATTTAATCTAGTTTTACTATCAGTTAACTTCTACAGAAAGTGTTAGATATAACACAATAATGTAGTTGTCAACTTAGTAAGATGTAAGAAATTTTTAAATAAAATTAAAAATATATATAAAGGTTATTTCTATACCAACCTAAAACTGCATGTGAAATGCTAAGAATGATTCAAATGCTGAAAAAGAGGTCAAGAAATGCAAGCACTCCCTAAAGTATATCATCAATGTAAAACCAAGGAAGAGTGATACATTTAAATTATCAAATTTAATGTAATATCTAATTAAGTGAAAATTTACTAAAACTAATTACCAGAATACCTAGGAAACAGTCCTACCAATCAACACAAACTTAGATCTTAAGAGAGCCCAAAGGTCACTAGTTAGTTGTCTTCATCCATAAATGCCCCTTCACTGTATACAATCCAAACCAAAAAGGCACTTTGGCATGAGCAGGAGGACTTTGTAATCAGGATTCAAACTGCAGCTTTTCCACATAGAGGCAATATTATCTTTAATTAACATAATTTCTTCATCTTTAAAATAAGGACACATACAGACTTAATAAAAGGGTTACAGAAATCCCTTTATGTAGCATTCTCATCAATAGGACAAGCACACAGTAATCACTCAAATATTATTTCTCTTCCTTCCCCAGAGAGCAATCATTAAAATTCTTAACTCTGTTCCTAGTATACCAATTTATGATATTTCATTGCTAATACTGAACAATGGACCTGCCCAATTCACAGAAAAAATATCAAAGCACTCTGGGTACAGTAATAAGGGTTGTTCTATACAGGTTGTGTATAAGTGAAGCACTCCAAATATCCTACCACCAACTGTAAGCATCATAGTGGCTCTATACAGGAGGGCATCAGCTACTCCACCCTTTAGATGCACTGGAATTCCATTATCCTCCTAGATTAAAAAAATAATAATAATTAATACAAGTGTGATTTGTTTTCAACTAAGTTCAAAAGGCTAATCCAACTTATATAAAATTAAGTGCCTCCTTAAACTCCTGGAATTAAAATATTGTAAACACCAAAACTTAAAGACTACAATTTTCCTGATTCTGTCTCTATTTCCACTGAAGTATTAAAATAAGAACTCCTAGAATTCAATATTCTTTCTCTTAAATTTAATGAGATCCAATACAGATATTCTTTCCAAGGAATATACAAATGTCAAAGCTGTGAAAATACACTGATGGAACTCATCAACTAAATTATTAAAAAGATCAGTAATCATCACACTTTAGATCTAATCATAAGAAAGACTAATTTTTTTTCCTTAAAGAAAAAAGGGAGAATGGGTTTTGTTTGTAACCTTAAAATATAACTTTAACCTTTAGCCCAGCACGTGGCATATGGTATTTAATACATTTGTTAAATGTAAGTATTTCATTTTTACATGTCATACAAACAGCCCCTGACTTAACAGTGGTTCAACTTACGATTTCTCAACTTTACAATGGTGTGAAAGCAATATACATTCAGTAAAAACTGTCCTTTAAATTCTGAATTTTCACCTTTTCCCAGGCTAGCAATATGCAGCACAAAGCTCTCTCATGATGTTGGGCAGTGGCAGACAACCACAACTCTCCGTCAGCCACACAATCATGAAGTTAAATAACCAATGAATTACCACCATTCTGTATCCATAAAACCATTGTTTTTCACTTTCAGTACAATAATCAAGAATCATGTAAGATATTCAGCATTATAAAATAGGATTTGTGTAAGATGATTTTGCCCAACTGTAAGTTAATGTATGTGTCCTGAGCATATATAAGGTAGGCTAAGCTACATTTAGTAGGCTAAGTATATTAAATGAATCTTCAACTTAACAGGTTTTCAACTTATGATGGGTTATTGTTTATGACACAATGATACAACTCAATCGTAAGTCAAGGAAGATCTGTCTTTTTAATCACTTAAAATTTTATTTGGGAAAAACCAGAGATCACACCCCAGGAAAATTTAAAAAAAATCACTAAAAATCGAACTACTTATAAAGGTCAACTACTCTATCCCACCATCCTTTCTTATGTGAAAACCAATATTAACAGTGTAGTACATATCTATAAATACTTTAAAGATTTATTTATTTATTTTAGAGACCGCAAGCACGCAGGAGGGTAGGGTAAGAGGGAGAGGGAGAGAATCCCAAGCAGACTCCCTGCTGAGCACAGAGCCCTGAGCTCTGACACTATCTCACTACCCAGGGATCATGACCTGAGCTAAAATCAATAGAGATGCTCAACCCACTGAGCCACCCAGGCATCCCAATACCTGTAGATATTTTTTAATGCCTACATTATCTTATCTTCTAATTTATACACACACCTGTTTAATATACAAAATGAGATTATGACATATAAGGGTCTGCTATATATTGTTTTTCACTTAATGCTATCTTAAAAACCATGGTTAGTCCCTTTAACCCCAACTTGTTCCTTTTAATGGCCACACAGCATTCCACTGTGCGAAAATATTCTAAGTGAATTAGCCAGTCTCCTATTAATGGGTATTTAGGTTGTTGGGGGGCTTTTTGTATTAAAATCCTATAATGAATGACCTCTTTGCTTTTTTAATATTCTTACGCTACTATTTCTGCAGAAAAGACTTTTTTTTTTTTTTAATTTACGATAGTCATACAGAGAGAGAGAGAGAGAGAGGCAGAGACACAGGCAGAGTGAGAAGCAGGCTCCATGCACCGGGAGCCCGACGTGGGATTCGATCCCGGGTCTCCAGGATCGCGCCCTGGGTCAAAGGCAGGCGCCAAACCGCTGCACCACCCAGGGATCCCAGAAAAGACTTTTTTTTTCCCCAGAAAAGACTTTTTAAAAGATATCTTTATTTTAGAGAGGGAGAGAGCATGCTCCCTCTATATAATTTTCATTTGTCAATCATACCTCCAAACTGGAAAAATATATTTTCTTCTAATATGTTTTACAGGAGAAGCATTTATACTCTTCCAATACCAATTTATTGTATTCTTTCCCCACTGATACGGAATAGCACCTTTAACATATATTAAATTTCTGCATATATAATTTTTCTTTTTCTGGGCCCTTTCTCTGGTCTATTTATCTATTCTTGTGCAACTACCTCAAAGAGTGCCAACCCAAAGTAACTTCTCCAAAGTATCTTTGACTATACCCTTCTGCTTCCCCAAGGTCCTCTTGTATAGAGCAAATGCACAATTAGCTATCAATAGTTTCTTATTCTTTTGCTAATATAGCAGGATCAGTAACAATCAAACATCTCCAAATGTACTTCTTATCTCCACCTTTTGGTAATTACTATTATTACCATTCATAATTGCCTATGAAATATTTCAGTACCTGAAATAGCTTTTGTTTCTCTGGAACTTTATTTTCAAACTGCCTGCGTGAAGCAGTACTTATGGTCCTCTGGGCAATCTGGCGAAGAGCCTGAAATGAAAAATCCATATATATTAGGCAGATTTAGGTTTTAATAAAGAAACCAAACCTTCAAAACCAACCACTTTCAATCTTTAATATTACAAAAGAGAGAAATTGACAGTTAAAACATATCCGGTTTGTCAGTTAAGAGTCCTAAACCAGCAGCAGGTTTTCCAATTGGTTGTCCATCCTCTACTCCTTATATTAAAATTCTGCAGTATCCAAAGACCACATTCAAGTAGCAATTTGTGCAGATGCTGAGCAAAAAAAACCACAAACCCTCATCTGTACCTGAATTGAATGAGTAGCATTATATAATCCTTGAGTAAAACACTGGCATACATATATTACAAAAATAATTACAAAATACACTAAGTTCAAATATTTTCATTTAATACTCTACCATATTATCAAAAATCTATTAATTGATACCAAAATAAAATAGCATGACTCCTACTTAGTTAAAATGCTTTCTTCATTACAGTTTTCCTAAAAAAAAAAAAAAAAGAATCTTTAGTAGGGCATAATTCTTTTTAAAAAGAAACTTGCATTATCTATCCAATTGAATTAAATAATGAAACAAATATGCACTCAATATTCCAAAATAAATGATACACCGAGAGCCTAAGTAAAACCTTACTGAATAATTACAAAAGAGAACGGTTAGTTGCAGTTACATTTTCCTTCTCTTTTTCGAAATTTTGAGAAAGTATTTCACACGCTCAAAGCCGGTGGAGGGGTGAAGGACACGGCAGAACGGCCTGATTGAAGTAACGCTGCACTTCTGCCACAAGTGCTCCTAAAGTCCCATCCAAAAGTGAATGACTTGCTTTTTAAACCGCGTTCTGATGCTCACAAAGCTCAGAAACGTTGAAACTTCTGTCTCTCAAATCTTTCTGCCTTAAACTTCCGTGTATCAGAAACCTCCCATTTGAGCCTTAGTTTTACTCCTAGCAGAGCTACCGACTTCATCAATGACCGAGAGGTTTAGGGGTGGCCACTGGGAACCCAAGGCTGTCTAACCCACTTCCGGGCACCTTCCCGGCCCCTCCATTCCATCTACCCAGCCTAGCCTGGGGCGGGAGGAACAGATGGAAGGGAAAGTAACGTCTGGCGAACAGGACACGGATCAAGGTGACTTGGGAAGTCGCCTTCCTCCCCTTCTGCCCTCCCAGGAGAAGCTGCTCACTCAAGGCCCTCGGGCCTCCGCTCTCCATCCTCCCGCTCCATATTAACGCAAGCCGAGAAGCTCCTCACCAGCAGATTCCGCAGCATCTTGGCTCAGTTACCACCCACCAACTGCGACCACTGACCACCAAGAACGAAGGTCCCCGCACCGGAACCGGAAATACCTCTGGCCCTCGCGCCAGCGTCAGGGGACAGAAATATTTCCGGGCGGAGGAGGGGCTTGAGCTTCTAACCATAGAGAGCGAAAGATAAGCGAGAGCGGCCTTACAGCCGTGGCCGCTCTAGGAGACCGGGCGCTTCGGTCCCTTCATCTCGTTCCTAAGCTGGCGGATGCCTTTCAGGTGGCTGGTCCCTGAAGCTGAGGCCGGGAGAAGCAAACGACTTTTGAGACCAGAGAGGCGAGGAATGACGTGTTATACGTACTTTTTTAGTTAGCTTGGATAAAATTAACGCGAGACCAAGCTATCGTAGAAAATCAGTGTACTTGGAACGAGAAGGCGTTTATACAACTTAGCCAACTTTGAGCCATTGTTCAGATGTTGAAAGAACACCGGGTTGGCCCAAGGTGTGAAGCTGCGTGACACACGGAACGAAAAGGAGAGCTCCTCTTAGGCGATGCAGTCAGTTTTGTTCCGCGGATGAGACTGGGGGGGCGTTATTGTTCCTTGTGCCGAGAACGTGCTGCCAGCGGCTGCGCCGGGATACCAGTTTTTATCTTCTGGTGCCTTTGGATGCTGCAGGACTCCCCATGCAAGAAACTCTACCACGGCGTCCGGCAATTGTGGAAGCTCTTCGCTCGTTTCTCCGTGTCTGGGAAAGTGCTGAAAAGAGGGGTGGGGTGGGGAATGTAACTGTGGGGCAAGAAATGGGATGGCAAACCTGGACTCTCAGTTAAGTCTTACTGGCTGAGGCTCAGCGGGGCACTTTCCACGACTGGAGTGGCTAGGCAGAGCCCATTATTGTACAGATGGCCTGTCAGGGTGTCTTTTATCAGGCTTGCCTAAATGTTACATTATCTCTCTATTCTCTGTGCCCACCAAGTGTCTATAAATTATAGACATAAAACTATTTACCCTATACTAAATCTTGTCACCTTTTTATGAAGTCTTCTGATCCACTGAGATTTCAAATAGAAAGTGGATGGTAAGATATATGGGTTCAGCATAGGTGAAATGGGTAGATAAAAACTAGTAAAGTCAAAATTACTATTCTTGCTGATAGTTTGGGTTAGATCCACCAAGTTATCTGTCCCCAGTTCAGGTTCTCTTCCTCGCCAAGGTTTATAAACAGCCAATTCATCTCTTCCCTAGATAAGGACTGAATGGATCTAGCTTATTCCCCTCTCTGTATTACACACTGTGATCAAATCCTTGAGACAGTTACCAGGTACCAACAGCTGAAGCCTACAAATTTTTAAAGATTAAATAGTCTAAAATATGAACTTGTTAAAGTAGTATGTGCTGTCTTACATTTTCTCCATCTAGACTAGATTGTAAACTGAAGAACAGAGATTATTATCTTTTTTACCGATCCCCTAGTACTGCTTAAAGGGTTAAAGGTTAGCCAGCAGATGAATTAATGATATATATTGGATAATAAATCTATATACTGAATGAAGGACACTTACTGTTCTGTCCAAAAAGAACCAAAGATTTACATAAAATAGATCCTTAGATGCAGATCCTTCTTTGCATGTCAGTACAATTTCCCTCTTTACTAGATCATTCCATCAGCATATAAGCTTATTCCCATATTAAACAAACAAGCATTTAAGTTACCATCCCACTTCTCTTCAAAATAAAACACAGATCTCTTTATACTTGTATTCTCTTCCTCTCCTAATCTTTTAAATCCCACTTTGGGCCGGCTTTTAGTGTTTTTCCTAGGATCCCTAATGGCTTTTACATTGTTAAACTGTCAATATCAATTTTCATCTTTTCCATCTATCAGCAACATTTAACATAACTGATCACTCCTTCACAATATACTTTAACTTGGAAATAAGCCATGGATGCCATACGGTATAACATACAACATATATGTAAAGTTTCAAACGGTCTTAACGGCCTTCCTTTATACTCTGGTCTTTTGATGGTTCTATTTCAGCAATGTTTTTAGTTTCCTGAAACCTCATCCTTTTAATCTCTAAAAAGTACCGCCCCCCCTTTTTTTTTAAACATTCATCCCTCTTGTGATTTCATCCAATGTCATGAAATACCATTTATGTGCCGGCACTCTCCAGCACATAAACTTTCTCTTTAACCCCAGACATCTCTACTTAGATGTCTAACAGGCATCTCAAAATTATGACCCAAACTGAATTCTACTCTCCACTCTTTATTTCTAAGGTTTCTCCTCTGCAATTTCCTTCATTTCAAGCCTCAAACTCTGTTTTCCATCATACCATATAAACTAACCCATTAGAAAAATCTGTTGAATACATACACCTTCAAAATATAATCTGACTCTGACCACTTCCCATTACTGCTACCACCACTGTAGGCCAACCCACCATCTCTTGCTTCCATGACTGCAAAAGCCCTTTTAACTGGCTTCCCTACTTGTACTTTTACACTCAAGTCTATTTTCACATAGAAATGACCCTTTTAAAGATTTAAGTTAGATAATGACTGTTTACAACTGTTTTCTTCACTGCTATAGTTGCAGCATCCGGAGCAGTAACTGGCACATAGAAAATGCTCAGCAACTAAGTGGTTAAGTGAATAGCATGTAGCATGAAAGAACTTACTGAGAATAAAAACTCAAAAAATCTTTGCTATTCATTGTACTACTTTCAAACATTTTTCAGCCTTGGGATTCCTCACTTATTGTTTCCTTGCTCTTGTTTTGTAAATTGTGATTACCCTGACAGAAAAATATACCTGGAATTTGCCTGGGTGCCTATCAAACTTTATTGGATCTTCTCAAGCACACTTGAAATTTGTTTCTAGATCTGTAAATTCATCCTCTGTAGCAAAGTAGTTATTTTCAAAAAAACTCCTTTCCAAAACATGTTTGAGGTTCTTTTGTAATAGTGGAAAATTATTATTAGATTACTAGAAATAATTAGAAAGTATTTCATTCAGAGAGTTTTTGAACATTATAACTGGACTGGCAGTATGCTACTTACATATATGCAAAATGTGTGGTAGGTAATGGTTAATTTAAGCCTTGCAACATAAGTTTGTGTGAAAATACTAAGTAAAAATACTTCACAATTAGGTATGCAAAGTTACCAAGTCAGTTAGTCAATCTTTCCTTTTAAAAAAACAAACAAGATTACAATCCTTACTTTGATCCTGCCTATAGCATCTATAAATAAAAAGCGGAAAGCCAGAATAGAGTTTTGTATGATTGGGATATGTGTTTTAATTCTGGAACCATGCTTAATCCACTTCCAGTTCTACAAAAACAATATAGTAAACAGCCTCATGTGAAGTTTAATACACAAAAACTACTAGAGAAAAGATAGCACTTCAATATAGTTTCTTTTTTTTAAAATTTTTATTTATATATTATAGTCACACACACAGAGAGAGAGGCAGAGACATAGGCAGAGGGAGAGGGAGAAACAGGCTCCATGCACTGGGAGCCCAATGTGGGATTCGATCCCGGGTCTCCAGGATTGCGCCCTGGGCCAAAGGCAGGCACCAAACGGCTGTGCCACCCAGGGATCCCTATAGTTTCTTTTTTAAAAAAAGATTTATTTATTTGTTCATGATAGAGAGAGAGAGAGAGAGAGAGAGAGAAGTGAGCAGGCTCCATGCCAGGAGCCCGAGGCGGGACTCAACCCCGGGATTCCAGGATCGAGCCCTGGACCAAAGGCAGGCGCCAAACCGCTGCGCCACCCAGGGATCCCCCTCAATATGGTTTCTTATTTTGAGTATTACAGTTTGGAATCAAGAAACATTTGGTTATCTCTAAATTGCTCTATTATTAAATAATTTATCAATTGCAAGCCTCAGTCTTTTCCTCATTAAAGTGAAGGACTGGCTTTGGATTAATAATCTTTATCTCTAGCTCTAAAATCCTTGTGGGTGAAAAATAATATATAAAATATATGAATGAAAACAAAAACAAAAAATATATGAACTCACTCCTTGTTGAACAATAGTTTATTGACTACCTAATATGAATCTAACATTTTATAATATGTTAAAAAAAACTTTTAAAATCCCTGACCCTCTAGAAAATCAAATTAGGAAGGTAATAAACACATACTAGTAAATTATAATGTGGACATGAATTAATATCAGGTAACTGGTTTAGTAAAACTTGCTCATGGAAAATACAAGGAAGATAGCTGTCATTAGGAAGGTTTTGAAAAGACTAAATTGGTAGAGTCTGGCAGAATTAGAATAAATGAAGTAGTGAGTTTTAGCAGGGTCCAAGAGAATAAATGGAATAGAGATTAAAAGGCATTCTCGATTTAGAGCAAGAACATGACTAACATGGACCTAGAATCAAGCACGATCTACTGCAGGAACTTTAAAACAGATACTAGGTGTAGTGAAGAGAAAAAATATTGTAATTAACAACTTGAGTTAGATTCTGAATCTGTCACTTAATAGTGATTATGAGTAAAGGCAAGTTTCTTTTTTAAAAAAAGATTTTATTTATTCATAGAGACACAGAGAGAGAGGCAGAGGGAGAAGCAGGCTCCATGCAGAGAGCCCGACGTGGGACTCGATCCAGGGTCTCCAGGATCATGCCCTGGGCTGCAGGCGGTGCTAAACCGCTGCGCCACCAGGGCTGCCCTAAAGGCAAGTTTCATAGTCTATACTTCAGCTCATCTGTAAAATGGAGATAAAAGTATCCAACATCTTTGGTGGCTGTGAAGATGAAATGATATAATTCAATAAATGTTAATTTTTAAAAGATTTTATTTATTTAAGAGAGAGAGCACACATGTTCAGGGGCAGGGAGGGGTACAAGCAGATTCCATGCTGAGTGTGGAACTCCCGCAGAGATCATGATCTAAGCCTAAATCAAGAGTCCACCACTTAACCTACTGAGCCACCCAGGTGCCCCTATAAATGTCAGCTTTTATTATGGAAGAACAAGTTGGATAAAGAGAAACAGATCAACAAAATCCAGGCAGATGTGAATGAGGGCCATTAAAAAATTTATGGAGTCAACGGTCCAAATCAGATCTACTTCAAGATCATTCTGATAGCAGTGAAAGGCTTGACTGAACATAA